ACTCGATTTTCCAATCGCTGCTGCCCGGTTTCCAGGTGGAACTCAGACGGGAAATGGGGCCCGGGCTTGGGCATTTCTTTGTGTCGGGAGTTCCAGGATCGTTTTACGGCAGGCTATTGCCCTCCAAGAGTGTTCATTTTGTTCATTCTTCCTACAGTCTCATGTGGCTCTCAAAGGTATATTAATTCTATTCGTACAAGATAAAGCGAAATCGTGTGGGATCAAAAACGAATACCTCCAATGTTATGGGTCTTAAACATTTAAGTTGTTACATGTATTTACAGGTTCCTGAAGGCGTGGAAATGAACAAACCGAACATTTACGTGGCAAGCAACAGCCCGAAAAATGTGATTAACGCTTACTATGATCAATTTCAAAGAGATTTTTCGACATTTCTCAAATGCCGGTCGAAGGAGGTTGTGGCCGGCGGGAAAATGGTATTGACCATTTTGGGCAGAAAAAGTGATGTTCCTTCTAGCAAGGACAGTGGCTACATTTGGGAGCTTATGGCCATAGCTCTACAAGAAATGGTTTATGAGGTGCCTAATCTCAACTTGAACGCACTTTGATTTTACTTGAATTAATTCGAGCTTGAGTTTAATCTTATAGTGAAAGGAAAATGTGTTCAAAATCTACATGTTCTTGCTGATTCAGGTTGTGTTTGGTAAGCATATAAGTTAGTTTATAATTTATTTGATTAGCTTATAAACTTTCTGTATTTAAATAAACTTGATTTGATGGAACAGACTTTTTTAAGAAGCTCGAGCTTTGTCATAGTTTTGTAAAACTAATCGGTAAGCTAGCTTATAGCTTATAAGTGATTTTCGAGCTTATAGCTCATGATTTATGACTGAAGAGTTAGCTTATATGATTAAAAAATGTTTGATAAAATTAGCTGATAAGCTAACTGAAATAAAAAAAAAAATTTCAACGAACTTATTTGAAAACCTACCAAACGAAACTTACTTGAATACAAAAAAACTTATAAGTTAATCAAATAAACTATGAGCTAGCTTATTTGGTTACCATATATAGCCTTAAGTTAGAATAGAACATTTAATTTATTCCACACTCCTCGTATTTCGTAGAAATTGTCATATTTACATTGTAGGGACTCGTTGAAGAAGAGAAACTGCATTCATTCCACATCCCTCAATACACACCATCAGCCAAAGAGGTCGCAATATTAGTTGAAAAGGAGGGGTCGTTCATTATCAATCGCCTTGAGGTCTCGGAAATCACTTGGGCCGCTTGTGGGGAAGACTTTTGTTCGTCAGATTCAAGTCGATCGGGTGCGGATGGGTACAATGTGGCTCGGTGCATGAGGTCCGTGGCCGAACCCTTGTTGGTGGAACACTTTGGTGAAGCAGTGATCGATCAACTGTTCAAAAAATACGAGGTGATATTATGCGACCGCATGTCGAAAGAAGATACTAA